GAAGGCTCCTGGCTGGAGACTGTCCACAGCAGACCTGGTGACATATTTCTGCATTCATCACCTAAGCAATGTGGCTCTCTTCTGCCTAAGCCCTGCCTACGGGAAGATTGTGACACATTGCTGGCCTCAGCAAACAGATGATGAGTCTCTCCTAATTGGGCCTTGCCCATAGAAAGCATTTTGACACATTGCTGGGCCCATTACCAAGGTGACATGGTTCTGCAGCCTGCACCCTGCATCCGGCTTTCAGGAGGGGATTATGATTGTAACATATTCCTGGCTAAATACCCAGGTGATATTACTCTTCTGCCTGGTCCCTTCTGCCAGGGAAGATTGTGACACATTCCTGGCCCAGAACACAGGTGATGTGACTCTGCTGTTTGCTCCCTACCCACAGGTAGGGACATGTATCTTGGTCCAGCTAACAGTTGCAATGATGACTCTAATACCACACACCAGTCAATAGAAAATATACTGTCTGTTTTAGCTGGGATTAGAGAAATGGGTAAGATCCCATGTCTCCTCTTTGTATGAAGGTTATAGAAAATTATTACTTTCTCACACATTGTATAAAGCCCTAGTGTGGAACAAAATGCCACCACAGAGTCCAGCATTCAAATAAGACTGTGTTTCTCATATTCTCACCCTACCATCCATTAGGATTTTCACCCTTACAGGTGGACAGAGCCCGCAGGTGAGGTCCTGAATTACACAGGTTGACGTAGTCCACAGCTGGAATTGTTTCTCTCATATGCTACAGTTGGGATGGTGACTCATTTCTAAACCTAGTTCATAGGCAGGTGAGGATACTTCTATTTGGACTGAGCCAATTGAAGAGAAGTTGACTCTGAGACAAGAGATTAGGGTAAAAATTATAACCCTGGGTCCATACCATGGGCCCATACCAGATCTCTGAGACCAGCAGGGAAGTCTCAGAGCATATTGAGACTCTCATGCATAAATCCCTCTGGTGCTACAAAGTGTTTTCTGACAAGGCACAGCACAGGTGAGAGTTTGACACTTGTTTGCACACCCATTTGACAATAAAGACTGTCATACTGCCACATGAACATGGCCAACTTTTGAGGTTCTGAATGTCACATTTGGAGGCAGTGGAAACTTGAGAGTGACTGTTATATGTAGATCCAGTCCACAGGTGGGCTGGTGACTCTCAGACCAAGATTCAGCCCACCTGTGAGGCTGCGACTCTACTAAGGAGTTCTAGTGCACAGAAGAAAGCGAGCTTCTCACGCACAGACCCAGTCCACCATTAAGATTGTGACTTATGTATTTAGACCCAACATAGAGGAGATGTTGACTCCCATACTTAGAACTGGGCCATGTGCAAGAATTTTAACTTTATCCCTGGATCATTCTGCATGTGAGATTGTGTGACATATGCCCCTGTCCAGGAACTAAGTGATTTGACCCTTCTGCCTGTGCCCATCCCACAGATGGAATTTTGACATCTTGCTAAACCCAGCACCTTCATGATGGGACTCTAGTCCACTGCCTTGGCACTGCCCACAGACAGCACTGTGACATATCACTGTCACTAGGCCTTATATCCAGTTAATGTGAGTCTACCCTTCTCTTTTGTCACTGTGCACAGAAGGCATTGTGACATATCCCTGGGCCCAACACCCAAGTTATGTGATTCTCCTGCTTGTACCCTGCCCACATGGCCCATTGTGATATATTGCTGGGTCCAGAACCCAGGTGATGTAACTCTCCTGCTTGGTCCCTGCCTACAGAAGGCATTGTGACATCTCTGCACCCATTAGCCAGGTGATGTGACTCACTTCTGCCTGATCTCTGCTCACAGGGAACATTGTGACCTATCACTGGGCCCAGCATTGAGTTGATGTGACTCTTCTATTCTTTGTAGGTTCTGCCTGCAGAAGAGTTGTGATGTGTCTCTGGACCCAACGGTAAGGTGATGTTACACATTTGCCTTGGTCCTGACTTCAGAAAGCTTTGTGACATATTGCTGGGCTCAGCACCAAGATGATGTGAGTCTCTTCCCTGAACCCTGTCCACAGGGGACATTGTGACATATCTCTAAGTTCATGAACTATTTGCTGTGACTCTTCTTGCTTACTTGGGCTTTGCCATTAGAAGAGATTGCGACGTGTCTCTGATTCCAGCACCTAGGTGTTGTGACTCTACTCGTTTGCCTGTGCTATGCCCACAACAGTTAGAGTGAATTATCCCTAGGCCCTACACACAGGCGATGTCCTTCTACTGCCTGGTCATTGCCCACAGGAGTCACTGCAACATATCTCGGCCCATTACCTAGATGGTGTAATTCTCCTTATTTCTCTGCTTCTGTCCCAGTGGGGATTGTGACATATTCCTTCAACCAACATTTATGTGATATGATTCTCCTCTCATGTCTGGACTCTGACCACTGTTGTAGTTTTGACATAGGGCTGGGCTCGTCTGTCTAGGTTATGTGACAGGTTATGTGACTCTCTTCTTTTTTCCTAAGCCCTACCCACAGGGAGCATTGGTACATAGCTCTGGGCCCTTCACCAAAATGATGTAATCCTCATTCTTGGGCCCTTCTCTCAGTGAGTATTGTGACATATTGATGGACACAGCACCTAGGTGAGGTAACTCTCTTCTACTTCTTGGGCTCTGACCAAGGAGGTATTGTGATGTATCGCTGAGCCCCGCACATAGGTAATGTTACTCTTTTCTCCTGCCTGAGCTCAACCTAGATTGTATATTGTGACATATGGCCTATCTTAACAGCTATGTGATGCACCTCTTCTGCATGAGCCCTGCCCACAGGAGTGTTATGCCATATCTTTTTGTTTATCACCTGGGTGATGTGACACGTTTATTTTTCTGCCGGGGCCCTGCTAAAGAGGGTTATTATAACATATCACTTGGCCCAGCACCTATGTGATGTGACTCTCCTTTCTCCCAGGCCCCACATATTTGGTGTATTGTGAAATAACGCTGGTTCCAACACCTAGAAAATAAGAGGCTCCTGCCTGGGCCCTGCCCACAGGGGTTCTTGTGACATATATCTGCATACACTACCTAGGAAATGTGACTCTTCTTTTCTGCCTGCACCCTCCTAACAGACAAGATTATGACACATTACTGGACCCCGCAACAAGGTAATGAGGCCCTTTTGACTGGGTCTTGAATACATAGATCGTTGTGACATATTGCTCAGCCCTCAGAGAAGATTGTGACGTACATCTGGCCCCAAACCCAGGTAATGTTACTCTCCTGCTTACTCCTAATCCAGAGGAGTGACTGTGACATATATCCTGGCCCAGCTTACTGGTGTGATGATGACTCTCATACCTTGAACTAGCCAATAAGAGCGATACTGTCTCTTATAGCTAGGCTTAGGGAAAAGGTAAGATCCTGAGTGTCCTCTTTGTATAAAGATCACAGAAGTTTACCACTCTCTTGCATATTGTGTAAAGCCCTCATGTGGTACAGAGAGTGTCATCACAGGTCCAGGGACACAAGAGATGCTGTGTTTCTGGTATGCACACCCTGCTAATCCTTAAAATAGTCGCCCTCACAATAGACACCACCCACTGGTGAGATGCTGAATCTCACACGTAGACACAGTCTACAGACAGAATTGTGTCAGTCATATGTGAACATCTGGCCACAGATGGAATAGTGACCTATTTCTAAACCCAGCTCATAGGCAGATGAGTACTCTTCTATTTAGACCCAGTCAACTGGGGAGGTGTTGACTCTCATACCTGAGCTTAGAGTGACACGTACAATCATGGGCCCATATCAGCATGAAGGTCTTAATGCAGATTGTAACTCTCATGCATATCATATTGTATTAGTATTAGTTCATTTTCACATTGCTGTAAAGAACTGCCAAAGACCAGGAAATTTAGATAGAAAAGAGGTTTAATTGACTCACAGTTCCACATGGCTGTGGAGGCCTCAGGAAATTTATAATCATGGCAGAAGGGGAAGCAGGGACCTTCTTCACAAGGTGGCAGGAGGGAGAAAGTGAATGAAGGAGGAACCTCCTACACTTAAAACCATCAGATTGGAGAGAATTCACTCACTTTCACAAACACAGCATGGGGGAAACTGTCCCACGATCCAATTACCTTCCTCCCTCAACACGTGGAGATTACAATTGTAAATGAGATTTGGGTGAGGACATAGAGCCAAACCATGTATCTCATAACTTCTTTGAGTGGTACAGAGAGTGCACTAACACAGCCCAGCTCAAAGGTGAGATTGTGACAGTAGTAAGCAGACACAGTCAAGAGTAAAGGTTGCTGTCCTCTCACATGACTATGGCCCACTGTTGAGGTTTTGAATCTTGTATCTAGAGGCAGTCAAGAGTTGCAGTGTTGACTCTCATACATGGATTTGTTATGCATGGATTCGGTGACCCTCAAACCATCATTTAGCACACGTGTCAGGCTGTGACTTATCTAAGGGGACACAATGCCCAGAAAACATTGAGAAGTTGCTGCACAGATCCAGTTCACAGTTGAGGTTGTGACTCACGTACTTCACACAACATACAAGACATGTTGACTCTCAGACCTAGAACCAGGACATGTGAGGGATTGCTAATCTCATGCCTGGCATTTTTGAAGGTGTGATTTTGACATACGCCTCTGCCAAACACCGGAGTTGACTCTCCTGCCTGGGCTTGGTTCACAAATAGAATGGTGATATATTGCTGGACCCAGCACCTAGGTGAGATGACTCTATTCTCAAGCCTTGGTGCCTCTTACAGGAGGCATTGGTACATATCGCTGGGACTTGCACTCAGGTGATGTAAGTTTTCTCTCCTACCTTGGCGCTGCACACAAGGGGCATTGTGACACGTTGCTCATTCTAACACTTAGGCGATGTGACTCTTCTGCCTGGGCACAGCCTAAAAAGGGGATTGTGATATCTCCCTGCACTCCTCACCCAGCTAATGTACTCTCATCTCTTGCCTGGAGGGATGGTGACATATCTCTGGGCTCAGCACCTAGCTAATGTGACACTTCTCTCCTTCCTAGGTTCTGCCCACAGGGGAGATTGTTACATATATCCTGGGCCCAGCTCCAAGATGTTACTCATTTGCCTTGGCCCTGTCTTCAGAAGGTAATGTGACCTATTGCTGGGCCTGGGACCAAGGTGATGTGACTCTCTTGCCTTGACTCTGTCAAAAAAGGGGGCATCTGTGGGTCCATAAATATTTGATGTGTCTTTCTTTTCTTACCAGGGTCTTGCTTATAGAAGAGATTGTTACATATCTCTGTTCCCAGCGTCTAAGTGATGTAACTCTCCTCACCCGCCTGGGCCATTTCCACAGATGAAAAAGTGACTTATCCCTGGGCCAAGCACACAGGCAATCGGATTTATTTCTCCTAGTCTCTTTCTACAGGGGGCATTGCAAAGTATCTATTAGCCCATCAACTATTTGATGTTAATCTCTTCTCTTACCTGGGCTTTGCCCATAGGGGATGTTGTAACATATCTCATGGGCCAGCATGTAGGAGATGACACTCTCCTCTGATTGTTACATATTGCTTTACTCAGCACTTACTTGATGTGACTCTCCTCTCATGCATTGTCCCTGCCCCTTGGGATGATTGTAACATATAGCTGGCTGTAGTCCCTAGGTTATATAACTTTCCTCTTCTTCCTGATCCCTACCCACAGAAGGCATTGTGCCGTATCTCTGGGGCTCTCGCCTAGGTGATGTGGCTCTCCTGCTTTGATCTTCCTTTCAGAAAGTATTGTGATGTATTGCTGAACCTAGAACCTAGGTGATGTGGCTCTCCTCTACTGTTTGGGCTCTGACCAAAAAGAGATTGTGACATATCACTAGGCCCAGCACCTAAGTGTTGTGGCTCTCTGCCCTCTCCTAGGCACTGCCTACATTGTGTATGTTGACATATGGCTGGATCCAAAACCAAAATAATGCAACTCTTTTGCATTGGCAACGTCCACATGTGTATTACCACGTATCTTTTTTTTAGCTCTGAAATTGAGCTCTGAAATAATCTGGATCTTTGATCTTTGTGCCTATCTCTCCTATTGAGTTTAAACTTTAATCCAAAAGCCATGACAATAGTCATAATTACTGAATGCCACAAAGTGATAACTTTTTTCTCCTCTTCCTCCTCTTCTCTTTCTCTTTTCCATCTCCTCCTTTCCTCTTCCTCCTCCCACTCCTCTCCTCCTCCTCATTATCTCCTCTTTCTCCCCTTCACTTCCTCCTCTCCTCCTCCTTTTCTCCTCTCTCTTTCTCCTCTCCTTTGCTTCCTCTCATCTTTCTCTCCTCCTCGTCTCCTCTTCTCCTCCTCCATCTCCTACTCTCCTCCACCTCCCATTGTTTCCTCCTCCTCTCCTCCTCCTTCTTCTTCTCTTCTCCTCTCTTTTTCCTCCTCCTCCTCCTTTCCTTCTACTGCTTCTCTCCTCCTCCTCTTCCTCTCCTCCACCTCCTCGCCTTCTCCTTCTCCTCTCCTCCTCTCTTCTCTTTTTCGTCCTCCCCCTTCTCCTCCCCCTCCTCCTCTCATCCTCATCTCTTCCTCTCCTCCTACTCTCCTCTTCTTCTCCTCCTTCTCTCCTCCTTCTCTTATCATCTCCTCCTCCTTTTCTTCTTCTTCTCCTCTCCTCTCATTCTTCTTCTCTACTCCTCCTCCCCCTCCTCCTTCTCCTGTCCTCCTCGTCTGTTCCTCTCCTTTTCCTCCTCCTCCCTTCTCCTCTTCTCCTTCTCTTTTTCTCCTCCTTCTCCTTCCTGCTCCTCCTATTTCTCCTCTCTTCCCCCCTTATCCTCTCTACTTCCTCTTCCCCCTCCCCTCCTTTTCCTCCTCCTCCCCTTCTCTTCCTTCTCCTCTCCTCCTCCTTCTTTTTCTCTCCTCCTTTTCCTCCTTCTCTTGTTCTCCTCCTCTTTTCTCATCCTCCTCCCCCTAAACCTCTCCATCTCCCCCTCTCCTCCCCCTCCTACTCATCTTTTACTCCTCCTATTCTCCTCCTTCTTCTCCTCTTCTTCTTTCCTTTTCTTCCTCCTCCTCCTCTTTCTACTCTTCTCCTCTTTTTTCCTCCTTATTTTTCTTCTCTCTTCCTCCTCCTTCTCCTATCTTTCTCCTTCTCCTTCCTCTCCTCTCTTCCTCTCCTCCTCCTTCCCCTTCTTTTCTCATCTCCTCTTCCCCCTCCACTCCTCTTTCTCCTTTTCTCCTCTGCTCCTCTTCTTTTCCTCCTGCTCCTCCTACTCCTTCTTCTACTCTCTTCCTCCTCTCCTTTTCCTCCTCCTCTCCTCCTTTTTCTCTCCTCCTCTTACTCTTCTTCTACATTCTTCCTCTTCCTCCTCCTTCTCCTCTCCTCCTCGTCTCTTCTTTTTTCTTTTCCTCCTCTCCTCCTCCTCCTTCTCCTCTCCTCCTCCTTCTTCTCTCTTTATTCTCCACTCCTTGTCCTCTCCTCCTCTGCCTTCTTTTTCTCTTCCTGCTTCTCCTCTTCTCCTCCACCTCCTCCTTCTCTCCTACTTGTCCCTTTTTTCCTCCTGCACCTCCTCCTTTTCTTCTCTTCCTCCTTTTTGTCTTCTTCTCCTCTCCTCCTGCTCCTCCTCCTTCTCCTCTCCTCCTTCTTCTTTTGCCTTCCTCCTCTCCTCTTCCTGTCCTCCTTCTCCTCTGTTCCTCCTCTCCTCCTCTTTTTCTCTTCCTTCCTCTCCTCTCCTCCTCCACCTCCTTTTTCTCTTCTTCTACTCCTCCTTACTTTGTTCTTCACCTTTTTCCTTTTTCTCCTCCTCTCTTTCTCCTCTCCTCCTTTTCCTTCTCATTTCCTCTTCCTCTCCTTCTTCTTCTCCTCTCCTCCTCCCCCTCTCCACCTGCTCCTCCTTTTTCCTTTCCTCCTCTCCCCCTTCTTTTCCTCTCCTCCTCCTTCTCTGCTTCTTCTTCTGCTCTTTCTCTCCTCCCCCTCCCCTCCTTTTTTCTCCTCATCTCCTCCTCCTCCTTCTCCTATTTCCCTTCCTCTCCTCCGCCTTCTCTCCTCCTCATCCTCTCCTTCTCCTCCTCCTTTCCTCTTCCCCTCCTCCTCCTATTTTTTATCTTCTTCCTTCTCCTCTCCTCCTCCTCTTCCTCTCCTACTCTTTCTCCTCCTCCTTCTCCTCTCTTTCTCCCCCTCCTCTATTCTTCTTCTGCTGCTTTTTCTCCTCTTCTCCTTCTTTTCCCCTCTCCTCTGTGTCCTTCTCCTCTCCTCCTCATTCTCCTTGTCCTCCTCTCCTTCTCCCCTTCTCCTCCTCATCTTTTCCTGCTCCTCCTCCTCCTTCTCTGTTCCTCCGTATTCTTTTCCTCTCCTTCTCCTATCGTCCTCCTCCTCATTCTCCTCCTCTCCTCCTCTCCTCCTCCTTTATCTCTTCTCTCCTCATCCTTCTTTTCCTCTCTTCCTCCTCCTTCTCTCCTTCTCCTCTCTCCTCCTCCTCCTTCTCTCTTCTTCCTCCTCCTTTTCCTTTTCTTTTTCTCCTCCTCCTCTGCTCCTTCTCCCCTTTCCTCCTCCTCGTTTGTCTCCTCTCCTCCTCCTTCTTCTCTCCTCCTCTTTGTCTCCTCCTTTTTCCCCCTCTTCCTCTCCTCCTCCTCCTCTCTGTCTCCTCTCCTCCTTCTCATTTTCCTCTGATCCTCCTTTTCCTCCTCCTCCTCCTGTCATCCTTTGTCTCTCCGGCTTCCCCTTCTCTCCTCCTCCTCCCTTTTTTCTCCTCCTCTTCCCTTTTTTCCTCCCCTTCCTCCCTTTTTTCTCCTCCTCTCCTTCTCCTCTCCTCATCTTTCTTTTCTCTTCCTCCTCCTCTCCTCCTTTTCCTTCTCTCCTCTTCCCCTCCTCTTCCTTCTCTCCTCCTCCCAGCTTTGTTTATCTCCTCATCTCTCCTGGTCCCCTTGTCCTCCTCTCCTGTTTATCTTCTCCTCTTCCTCTATTCTTACTATTTTCTCACTTTCGCCTCCTCTCCTGTTCTTCTTGTTTCCTGCTTCCTTTTTCTCTTTACTTTTTCCTCTCTTCCTTCTCTCTTCCTCCTCCTCCTCTTTTTCCACTCCTTCACTCCTACTCCTCTTCTTACTGAGCTACTGGCCACGTCAAGCAGCACCCAGCACATGTAGTGACGGTCTCTGCAGCGCTGCCCTAGAAAGACCTGATGTGCATCTTTTTGGAGGGTAGGAATCCGGCCCAACCCAGACGCTGAGGTTATTCATATATTTATTTATTCTATGAGAAAGGGTCTTGCTCTGTCACCCAGGCTGGAGTGCAGTGGCACAAGCTTATGACTCACTGTAATGTCAAGAGAGCCTCTCACCTCAGCCTCCCGAGTAGCTGGGATTGCAGGCGTGGCCCATCACCCCTGACTAAATGTCTTCCGTAGTGACGGGGTCTCACCACGTTGCCCAGGCTGCTCTGAAACTTCTGGACAAAAGTGCTTCTCCTGCCTTGGCCTCCCGGAACACTGGGGTGAATTTATTTGTTATAGCACCTCCAGGACTCGGATGGTGCAAGCCTCCTAGGCCAGAAACATCTTCCTGACACTGCTCCCCAACTTCTGCTCTCTCTCGCCTGGCATCTTTCCCCTATGGCAGGGAAGCCTGGAAACTAGGGCTCCTGCTGTCCCCCGCAGCCGCAAAGCATCAGGGGTGCTGGCCAGGAGGTGTCTTCCCGGGGTGCTCTCGCGAGGGTGTTTGGTGCAAGTGCCTGCCGCACCTTGCTCTGCGGATTTGAAATTCCTGGGCAGAGGACACTGGCGTGGAGGGGGCAGCAGGCAGCCCTGCGCCCTGGCCCTTTCCTGGCTGGCGGTTTTGGTGTGGCCGACTGCCACCTAAGGCGCCCAGGAAAGAAGGGGGCCAGGGCCTTGCCATGGGGGCGCCTATCATTCCTGGTCCTTCTGTTGGCGGGGTGTGTGTTTTACAGGGATCCCTCAGTGTGGAGTGCACCTTCCTCGCGCGAGTAGGGGGTTCGGTGCCGGGTTCCATCGTGAGTCCAGGAAAAAGGCGGGTGGCGGCGGGGCTTCTCCCGCTGGAAAAATCTGTGGCTGTTTCCGGGGCACCTATGCCCCTTCCACACCAGCCTGCAACCTAGTGTCGCTTTCTCTGCCCCCAGCACCAGCCTCTGCCTGGGCCTCCCTCCCCCATCCCAGTCGCGTCTCTTAGGAAACTGCGACCCTAATGTTTGCTAAGGAGCACGGGAGGTCCTTCCCGTCGCGGACGCCCTCCCTCGGAAGCGGCGCGTTTTCTGGGCCGAGGGCACATCGAGGATGTCACTCACTCCCTGGCCAAGGGTGAGGACGGGACGCGGCGGCCGATCCCACTGCCTGGCGGGGCCGCTTCCTTTCCTGGCAGGGTGGAGACCTGCAGGGTGCTGGGACCCGGCCCGGCGAAGAACGCGCTGGCCAGTGGGTCGCTTGTCAGGCGCCCTGGGCACCTGGCGACCCTCGTCGGCGCTGCATCCATGAGAGGTTATAAATGAGGAGGAAAGTTATTTATTTATTTATTTATTTATTTATTTATTTTTCTGCTCAGCGGATTTGTCCTCCCTCTCTCCTTACTGGTTAGGAGATAGAACACGAGCCCAGATCCGGGGCAGCAGTTCACACTCCATTACAAAACTCTAAACAGCATCGCAGCTAGCAGCAGCACACATTTGGGGAACATTGGAGGGATTTTCTTCTTCTTTTGTGGGTGGTGATGTTAGTGGTTGTGGAGAGAGAGAGAAGGGTGAATAAAATTGTAACGATTTGGTAGGTTGAAAAACCTGTCTGGGATTTTCATTATTAGAAAATTGAACCCTCGTTCTTGCTTAAGAGTTTAGACTCAGGCTTATCCCTTTCAAAGTCAGTGGAAACTAAGTTTGCCTGTTAGATGAGAAGGCTGAAAACAGTGAGACACTTCCATCTGGAGGAAAAAAAATGATTTCTGCAAAGGCAGAGTTGCCAGACCATCCCCATATACTTGAGGGTTTTTTCCTTTTTTAGATATGTAGTGGTCCCTGCACCTGTGCACAATGATGCTGAAGTATATTTAATGAAGTGAAAGGTGAGGGAAAGG